CAATATTATTGCTGTCAAATACATTGTCCCATGATTCATTACTTAATTTTGTGACAAAATCTGCCATCGTATGCTTGTTGATTTTCCTTACTGTTTGATATTGTTGATTACTGGGCTGAAGGTCAATATTATTTATTTCTATGAGTTGAGCATCATGATCGGATAAGCCATTTATAAAGGGTCCTACAGTATAGTCTCTTAATTTTGAGTTATCAATGAATATATTATCTATCGCTGAACTTGAATTATTTTGAACTCTTGTGGGAAAGTTAACAGTACTGGAGAGATTGTAAGATGATAACAAAGAGTCTAAATTTAGTTTCCTATTACTGTCGATGAGATAGTTTATATTTATATCACCAGATAAAAGTAGCCTCAGTAGAACATATTATGTTGCCTTGAATAAATGTTAAGTCCTATCATTAATATTATTATTAATCATCAACATGCAGGTGCCTTGGGTTTTGGTATTCACATTACCTTCCAACACACAACTAATCAGCGGGTATACTGCAATAACAAAGAGCTGGCTTTGAGAACAGTCCATGGGCAATGCATAATTTACAGTGAAACATCTCTGGCCCCCCAAAACAATTTGGTTAGCATACGGAAAAGCATCAACACAGATAACTTCATGTGGCCTGTCCGTGGGAAGCAAAGGCCGAACCTGAAAAAATAATTCACATCAATGTCCTAATTTAAATGAAGCACAAAACTAGGCCAGACACTTAAAGGAATCAAACTATATAGAAATAGTACTTACAGTGATTTACAAGTTATTTAATGACATTGCATTAAGTGCTAAGGTTATTTAGTGTCAAAAAATATTTATAAAAATGAAGCATCATAAATGTATTTAAACAAGAAACAAATATAAATGACATTTTATTGATCACCAACTGTGATGGATGTGTTTTACATTTCCTAAAAGATTTACTCCATATTTGACGTGTTTTGTCATCAACTTCTTCAGCCTGCCATATACAAGTGTTAACTGAGAGGATAGTCTTTTTAAAATGCTGTTCACATGTCAGTTACTCCATACATATCAAGGTTATTTATTAGAAAAGATTTTAAATGATGCAATATTGCCTCAAAACTATATACAATTTTTTACTTAATCAAAGTTTATGGAGATGGAAACCGGTATTTGGAATGTAGGTAGTTTATTGTAAATGAATACAGACCAACATTAGACGAAAGTGATTTAAACAGTTCCCCCTTCGATCAGGAAATTCGTGTCATGTGATAATGTTCCAGACTTGTATTTTTGATCTTCCTGAGTTTCAATCCTGGCCAAGATACCAACTATCCTGACAGGTTTTTCATACTTTTTCTCAGTCCCATCAGCCATACAACAAGATGATACTTCAAAATAGTCACACCAATTAATTCCATTTCCTGGAATGTGAAGAAATCACTTCAAATATTAACAGCTATATTGAAAGGCAAAGGTAGTTCAAGCAAGTAAACCACGAAATAGTCTTAAGATCCCTGCAGGCTGAAATACTGAATTTAGCTTCAAATTTATCCGTACCACTCTGACGGAGGTACAAGGTGGTTCAAATATGACCAGGACTAATTTTTTTTTTTAACCATAATTGCCAAACACTTACTTGCACGTCAGTTTTCAACGTACTCCCCTCCGGAGTCAACACATTTTTTCCAACTTTCTGGAAGCATCCTGATGCCCTTTTCAAAAAAGGCTTGTGGTTGGTGACGTATCCACTCCCGAACAGTCTGGATGACAGCGTCATCGTCCACAAACTGCATGCCTTGCAAGTCTGATTTGAGCCTTCCAAACAGGTAGAAATCACTTGGAACCAATTCAGGACTGTACGGCAGATGTGTCAGAAGGTTCCATTTCAATTTCCGGGGGGTTTCCATTGTTGTTTTGGCCGTATGGGGGCATGCATTTTCTTGAAGGAAGGCTACCCGCTTTCCACCTGTGTTCCGCTTGGATCGGAACTTTTACTTCAAGTATGTTGCAAGGAGGTCTGAGTAATAAGCTGCAATGACTGTTCTGGCTTCTGTCAGACAGTCTACGTGGATCACCCCGTCAGTCCCAGAAGAACGTTGCCATCACTTTTCCTGCCAAACGGCTCCTCCGCACTCTCTTGGGTTTGGGAGAACTGGTATGCCGCCACTCACGCGATGACTGCTGGGACTTGAGAATGAAGTAGTGCACCCATGTTTCATCGGTGGTCACTATAGACTTCAAAAATGCATTACCTTCATCTTCAAACTGCTCTAGAAGACGACTGCCAGCTTGCACGCGCACCATTTTGTTCACGTCCATCAAAGTGCATGGTACCCACCGTGCATTCACCTTGCAATAGTGCAGGTGGTATTTCACGATGTCTTCTACACTACCAACACTGATGGACAGCATTGCTCCAAGTTCCTTGATAGTGATGCGCCTATTCTCACAAATAAGCGTGTCTGCACGATCAACGTTTGGCTCAGTGATGGATGTTCGTGGCCGACGATCATGCAGTTCATTCTCCATGCGCTCTCTGCCCTCTCTGAAGCACTTACACCATTCAAACACAAGGGTCCGTGAGAGACTCTCTTCCCCATACTGTTGTTAGTCTGTAGTGAATATGTTTTCTCCAAGGAATCTGATCACAATGCATTGTTCCACGCTCTGCAGTACCTTCTGTTCGCTCATCACTCTAGCAACACCCAGACAGGACTGAACAGGTTCTAACCTGAACTGGAGGCAGGGTGGAGGTTGTGGCTTCACTCTCTCAAGGTCACACAGCTGCTGCGCAGTGCGGCTTCTTTACACACAAATCAGTCCCCGTCATATTTGAACCACCTTGTATTTTGGTTATCACTATTTTCTTCCCAGTTTATTTAATGCTTTGTGAACTTTGTCATATGGCAAAATAATGGTGACTGTTGAGCTCTTATTCCAACAATAGTTGAACAGAATGAGGAAATTGACAAGGAACCTGTCAGGATAGTTACTTAAAATGCAGACCAGGAAAGGGGCTAAATATTACACAATAATATTTGACATGTGTATCATATTTCCACTGTACTTTATTGCATAATTCTATCTTCCACAGACACCATTACTTTAATAGGCTTTGCAATTTCAACATTCACCACAGCAATGATTGTCAAATAATCAGAAAATCAGAATTTCAAAACTAAACATAAATTTAAATTTTCTTTCCCACTTGAAAAAGAGATACCTATAAACCAAACAATAATCTCAGTAAATTAACTTATATCCTCATACCACTAATAGTATTACTACTAAGTTATTGCCACTGTTCCATGAATTTGAACATTAAATGCCCATGCAATTCAAAGTTTTTAAAATACTGTATATCAAGCACAATACACCACACTTTCATACTTAAAATGCACGCAAATAACATGTGTCACGGGTAAAATATAACATAAATATTTAACTAGTATCTTGGAATAAACCCGACTTTTGAAACTTCATAACCTAGTGAAAATATATTTAACCCAAGGAGCCTATAGAAGTATTATGTTGAATTAAGCAAAAAACTGTAGCACCATAATAATTACCATTGTATACAAAACTTTAAAAACTGGTATGTATGTTGAGTTGGGTGGGGAAGCCATGATTCTGTACCTTGTGAGATTGCTGGACATAACAATGAACAACGGGGCTATCCCACGGGACTGGAAAAAGGCTATAGTGGTCCCTATTTACAAAGGGGGAGATCGATCAGTGATTGGGAACTACAGACCGATCAGTTTAAACATCAGTGGTTTGCAAACAAATGGAGCATGTAATAGCAGGGTATCTAAGACAAATTTGGGAAAAGAGTGATTGGTTATACTAGGGCCAACATGGCTTTAGGCCAGGGTACTTGTGCGGAAGTCAGTCACAGTCAGTCAGGATATTGCTGACGCCCTGGACGAAGGGGTCATGACAGACACGAAAATAATACATTTTTCAAAGGCCTTTGATTTGGTCCCACATGATAGGATACTCACAAAAATAGCGGAAACCGGAGTGAACTTCAGGGTAGTTGTGTGAATACATGAATTTCTTTCAGGACGCTCACAGAGTCAGAGTAGACGAGCACCTATCTGACGAAGTCAGAGTGATGTCAGGAGTGCCGCAAAGGGAGTGTTTTAAGACTGCTACTATTCCTGGCTTATGTTAATGATATTTGGAGGGATACTGAATCAAATATATGGTTATTTGCAGATGACAGCATAATATACAGGAAAATATGGGATAGTAGTGACATTGGCAAGTTGCAGACGGATCTAAATAAATTAGGGGAATGGGCAGTAGTAAACGAAATGAAGATAACTCCAGATAAGAGTAAAGCGGTAAGTTTTATGAGAGCTAGGGTGAAGGATCGATTGATGTATTATTTTGGGATAAATTAATTACAGAGGTAAATACCTTTAAGTACCTAGGAATAGTCATACAGAGCGATCTAAGATGGGAAGATCATGTAAACTATACACTACGAAAAGCATGGAAGGCTCTTCATTTAATGTGTATATTGAAATACGGCAATAATAACATGAAACATCTAGCTTATACATCATTAGTGAGACCGACACTGGAATATGGTTCGGTATGTTGGGTCCCATACAGAGAATGGCAGGTTAGCGCTTTAAATCGGGTACAAAGAAGTGCAGCTAAATTTGCAAATCCTACAGATGAATCTGGCTTGGATACTCTAACACCATAGACTGATAGTCCATCTGTGTGCCCTCTACAAGGAGACTGGCTTGGAAAGCGATAGGGGATAGCCTGCTTCAACCATGCTACCTGAGTAGGGACGCTCATATTTGGAAACTTCGAAGCAGGAAACAAAGAACAGGTGTTGGCAAATATTCCTTTGTAGTTAGTTAGTTAGTTAGTTAGTTATTGGAAAGGGTGGGTTTCCCCATGCACTTAGACCAGTATTGGTCCATTGTGCTTCCCTCTATGATATTCTACCAGTCTCTATACCCTATACTGGTGCTTACCATCAGTCCCGACCAAGCCAGCGAGTTCGGCCTCTACTGGCTTAGCGGTATCTATAATGCTTCTCCCATCTATCAGAGGCGTTAAAGACTACTGTTGGGCGGGAAATGTCCTTGAATTTGGCTCAGTGACCTCCTTAGGAGATATGAGGTTCTTTTACGTGCTGTAAAGCTACGACACGGGACCCACGGCTTAAAGTCCCTCCCGGAGGACTTGTTCCCTGAATTTTTCCGCCTTTAAAAATTCCACGACCTCCGCCGGGTTTGAACCCGCGTACTACGAGTCATAAGGTGGGAACGTTACCTCTAGACTACGGAGGCCGCTCTATAATATTCCTTTGTAAATAGAACCATAAAGGATTGGGACAGTCTACCTGCAGGCATACTAGTGTCTTTCCCTTGTAAACTAAACACTTTTAGAAAGAGGGTTAGTAAAGCTGTTGCAAGTACAGAAGCCTTAGGCGGAGTTAAATGAATCAAGTGGAGTAATGTGAAGAGTCCTTGTTCGAGTGCAGAAAACGAACACAAGCACGTGCGTTTTTATAACTTTATATGTTTGGATTTGCACTGTGTGTACCTTGTTTATTGTAAGTATTTTGTTTTGTATTGTTCCCTTATGTTATAGACTTTCCTTGTCTGTATCACTGTAAGTTCTACTGCCACTGGGTGAACACCCAATTACAGTAATATAATAATAATTAAACTACGGTATGCATTCACTTCTGTCAATGACAGGATTACTGTTTTTAAAATTGTAGTCTATTTTACAACAGGCTCTTCACGTGCAGCTTTATTTTTTCTGATTAAAAATGTTCGATATGCAGACAACAAACATGATTTTAATCAAACTCTGTAACAATAAACGTGGATAAATACTCTAACCTAGAAAGTAATCTTACCCGAACCGCTACTTGAATAGGAACGCCTATCATTTTTTGTTTCAATCCTATACGGAAGGCAGATTCGCAGAGCTATGTAATTCTAGACATACACATATTCCGACACGAGAAGTAACCACATTTATAGATGTAATGAAATCTTCGATCAAAATACTAAACATATAGAATGTGACAGATTTCTGGCTACAAATTGGAAGCGAACCAATTGGCTAGCAATGTGGCAACCGAAGCAGACTCTCCTGCCATCTTTCTTTCAGGGAAGATTCATACTGTAGTCAACGGCGAGAACTTAGTCGATAATAAGGCTAGCTACTATCCCCTCTTATTTGCCAGTGATTACAATTGGCTATTCAGCCTCTAGCTTCTTGCCCCTCCTGTCACCATCTCCTTCTTCCTTCTTGTCTCCTTGGCTCCTCTTCATACTTCCTCGGCACTCTGTAGTTGCAGGCAAGCAGGCTAGAAGTGGGCTGAAGCCCAGATTGGGACTTATCAGGCATGCTCCTCATACTGCCTTGCAGTGGACCGCTGGGGCAATACTGCTTCTGACACCACCTCAGCTACTGTGCACATTTGTTGCTGCTGGGGACATGTGTTTACCGTGACACTGCACAGTAATGGACGTCTCCGGACATCCATTCAGTTCAAAAATCAAAATCCTGCCATATTATGTATCCTATGCTAACTTCTTTTGGCAAAGGTCAAGACTGAAATAACAACTAAAGCAAAGGCACCTCTCATTATCATCCCTCGCTTCCATTTTCTAATGTCATGGCCGCGCCATAGCTCAAACGGTCAGTGACTGGCTTCCCACCGCGGCAGCCCTGGTTCAATCCTGGGGTCTGGTGAAGCAGGATTTGTGGTGGACAAGGTGGTGCTGGGGCGGGTTTTCTCTGAGTACTTCGGTTTCCCCTACCAATCTTCATTCCACCAAATTCTCCATCATAATCACCCAGGGCAGGTACAATAGGCCAATCAGTGGCCGCTTTGCCGTGTGGAGCCAACTGCACACCTCCCACCACTAAGCAAAAATTCTGATGTCATTAACTATTACAAACGAATCATATTCATGCACAATATGCAAACAGAATCAATCATAAACCATGTTCTATTATCTATACCAATATATGAGTATGAGTACGAGCATGAGAGGTGAACCATAAAAATGGCCCTCACACTGCGACCTGCAATGATCTGTGTGCTTTATACCAATATATAGTGTACATATTTACAACAGTTACACAGAAAGGGTTATGGCATATGGTGTTCTTTCTTTCTTTCATGAGTATGTCAAACTTACAAGAAAGCTCATACTGACTGAAACAATTCAGAAACAGTAATGCATAAGCATCTGGGTGCTGTCTGGATCTGAGATTTGTAGAGTGGAACTGGAGGTCTCCTCGAATGTGTAGCTCCAAGAATTTGTTACTAAAAGTGCCTTTTCTCTGTCATAAGGACTCATGGAACAAAATGTACAAACCAACATGTATGACTATAAATTAGGTGGAATTTGGTTTTTAATGTTGCATGATATAATAAGGATTGAGAACAAAAGTGTTCCTGTAAGCTTTGAAGTTTTCACAGCGGTGACTTTGAAGAATACCATCTTCTGGGATGTGACACCGTGAAGATCTTGTGTAAACCGACGTTTTGGAGGAAACGTGATTCAGGAGGAAATTAAGAGGAGATTGAATTCGGGTAATGCTTGCTACCATTCAGTCCAGAACCTTTTGTCTTCTCATCTGCTGTCCAAAAACATAAAAATTAGAATATTCAAAACTATAATTTTGCCTGTGGTTCTGTATGGGTTTGAAACTTGGTCTCAGACATTAAGGGAGGGACATAGACTGAGGGTGTCTGAGAAGAGGTTGTTGAGAATATTTGGACCGAAGAGAGATGAGGTGACAGGAGGTTGGAGAAAACTGCATAATGAGGAGCTTCATAACTTGTACTCTTCTCCAAGTATAATTAGAATGATCAAGTCAAGGAAGATGAAGTGGACAGGTCATGTAGCACGAATGGGGGAGACAAGGAATAAATATATAGGATTTTAGTGGGAAAGCCAGAAGGAAAGAGACCACAGGGATGGCCAAGGTGTAGGTGGGTGGACAATATTAGAATGGATCTTAGAGAGACAGGATGGGATGGAATGGATTGGATAAATCTGGTTCAGGATAGGGACCAGTGGAGGGCTCTTGTGAACGCAGTAATGAACCTTCGGGTTCCATAAAATGCTGGGAAATTCTTGAGTAGCTGCAGAATTGGCAGCTCCTCCAGAAGGGCTCAGCTACATAAGTAAGTAAGTAAGTAAGTTATCACAAAAGACTGACTACGTAAATTATAAACAACTGAATCCATGTAGTTACTATAGGATTCTGACGATGGTGTATAACACACTGATATGTTGGGTTTTTGGACGATGGATAAAGTCCAAAAACCCAACATATCAACTGAATCCATGTTTTCAACAAGATGATATAAACACCAATACAATTCACTGGTGTTTCTGAACTTTGATACCATGTGAAGATAAAAAATACAGTCAAAACAAGTAGTGGATGTGATTTTTAACACTAAATACCACAACCTGTTGTTTTGATGGTCTCAAATAAAACAAAATATGGTTTTTCTGATAACTTCATTAAATTTATTATTATTATACATACACACAATTCAAAGTGCATAATGTTTTCTTATCAAATGGTAACAACATAAAACTTTCTTACCCATTTTTCGAGGGAAACTATTTCCCTTAAGTCTGTACAGTGAAATTACCACATCACAATTCAATTGTAAGTATAAAACTTTAAAAGCAACATGCTCTTCATTAAATAATGAACACATACACACGTACACCTTTATTCTTACAAGCTAAAATAAGGTTCAAAGCATCAAATTATCTGCTACTCTCTTTGCCAAGATGCAAACATTCTCTGGCGAGGTTTCCTCACTAACATATTCAATCTGTCTGCACTTGTAGCCATGACTCTCAAGATACACTTGACGTCCATAATTCAATATAGCTTTGCTTTTCCTTCCAATAATCTTCCTTTCATCTTCAGTTAGAGTCAAGTGGATGGGTCTACAAAAAAAAAAACAATGACTGTTATATGCAAGTATATTAAAATATTCATACAGCAAACTGGAGACCAAATTCTTTTGACTATTTTATATGGGAGTCCTTCAAACAGAAATTACAGCATATACAATTGACAATACTGCATTTTCCTGGACCCAAGGAATTTGTTACATGCAACTCTCTGAAGAGTTCCAGTCCCTTCTCTGAAACCTTGTTAGAAAACTGACCCTAAATTTACATTGGAAATCATAGGCATTTACAGAGCTCCAAACGAGGCCATGCAAGTTATAGAAAGATTGACAATCCGAACCGATTATTTAGGAAATTCTACAAAGCATAGCATCATTGGAGGATACTTAAACTTGCCCTATGCTGATTGAAATGGTAACACGGAATTCACTAGCGGAAGAAAGGAAGTAAATAAACTGGAATGGAAAAATGGCTACATGCAGGTAGCAGATAGTCCCACCCAAGAGGATGCATTGCTGAATGTTTATTTAGTCCAGTTGGAAAGCTTGTTCACCCCTTGCAGCATAGTACAGGGGACCAGTGACCACTGTGGGGTATTATTAGAAGTAGAATGGGAAGAAAATTACTGTCGACCTCAATTAGAAAGACTAGTCCTGGTGTACCACAAAGCAAATGTTTTAGCTCTACAAACATTCCTCTGGGATAAATTTGCAATCTGAGCAAGCAATGGTAGATGTGTTGAGGAGGTATGGAATAATTTCAAGAACATAATACTTGAGAGTATAGAAAGACTTATTCCACCTAAAATACTGAGACCCTGAATACTATGATAATGAAGTGAAAAAGTTGAAGTTAAAGTTAAAGTTAAATGTTAGAAAAGCATATAACAGAAGCAAATTTGGACATTAGTACTGAGAGGAACTGAAACGACTAATAAAGCAGCTGCTATTATTATTAAGGTCTATACCAAAAAATGAATGTAAGTGCTGGACTGAATTCCACAAGTATGTAAAAAGACATAAATGTAATAGGGAAAATATTCCTGAGATCAAAGATGGTAATGGACGGCTCATTACTGATTCAATAGAAAAGGCTAACTCCCTTAATTTCTATTATTTTTCAGTATTCAGCTGTGAGCATAGCATCCTGCAAATACTGCACATTAACTCGGATACACCCTTCGCCATTAGTATTAAAATCATTAGGAAAAGGTCAGCAGCAATAAGTAAAAACAAACCAAAAGGGGCCAGACATTCAGTTCTAAATTAGCAATTCCAGAACTGGGGGGGGGGAGCCATGATTCCATACCTTGCACGGTTATTGGACATAACAATTAAGAATGCCACTATCCCAGGTGATTAGGGAAAAGCCATAGTGGTTGCTATTTAAAGGGGAGGGGGGAACAATCACTGGTTTCAAATTACAGACCCATCAGTTTAACCTCAGTGGTCCACAAGCAAATGGAGCGCACTGTTGCATCACAGTTGAGGAAACTCTGGGATAAAAGGGAATGCTTATTCAAGGGTCAACATGGCTTCAGACAGAGACATCCATGTGACAGTCAAGTAATCTCTGTCTGCCAGGATATTGCAGGCTCACTGGATAGCAGACGTGGGGCTTCGATTTATTGAAGGCTTTCGATGTAGTTCCCCATGATTCGCTTCTTATGAAAATTGTGGCTTCAGGAGTGGACTCAAGGGCACATTTATGGATAAGGGAATTCCTTTTTGGCCGTACACAGAGAGTTACAGTAGGAGGGCAATTACAGAGGAAGTCAGAGTAACGTGAGGCGAACCGCAAGGAAGTGCACTGGGCCCACCACTGTTCCTCGCGTACGTACACACAGACAGAGTAGGAGGGCAGTTACCAGAGGAAGTCAGAGTAACGTCAGGAGTACCACAAGGAAGTGTACTGGGGCCACTACCGTTACTTGCGTACTTCAATGATATTTGGAGAAATATTTAGTCAACTATTAGACTTCTTGCAGATGACTGTATAATATTCAGGACAATTATAAATAATAAAGATATGGAAAAGTTGCAGATAGATCTGAACAGTGGGCAGTGGGCAACTGAAAATGCGATGATAATTAATCCACCCAAAAGCAAGGCAGTTTGTTTCACAAGAGCCAAATTGACAGAACCACTCACTTACTCATTACGGGACATAGTAATTCTGGAAGCGAGCGGTTGTAAATACTTGGGAATAATTTTATGCAGTGATTTAAGTTGGGCTGTTCAAGTTAATTACACAGTGAGAAAAAGCCTGGAAGGCACTTCGTTTTATAATGCATATTCTTAAAAAGGGAAATAGTAACACTAAAAGCTTAGATTACACACCACCAGTGCGCCCAATTCTTTAATATGGAGAGGCATACTGGGATCCTTGGAGGGACACATGCGCTAGAGAAGGTGCAAAACATAGTGGCTAAATTTGCACATCACAGAAATGATTCAAACTGGAAAACCTTGACACAGCACAGAAAGATAGCCGGCATATGTGCCCTCTCTGAGGCGCACAAGGGAGAACAGGCTTGGAAGGCTATAGGTGATCGATTACAAATACCATGCAATCTAAGCAGGGCCAATCATGATAGGAAAATTAGGAGTAGAAAGCAAAAGACAAATATCAGAAAATATTCCTTTGTACACAGGACCATCTAGCTCTGGAACCAACTACCTGCAGGGTTAGGAAAGTGATAAATAAGGTGAAGTGAAGGTGTGGGGGAAATCATCAAAAAAATACACTGAAGTGAAGTGAGGTGAAGGGAAGTAAACTGTGGTGTAGTGAAATGGAACAAAGGGAAGGCCATGGTGAAATGTAAGTGCATCTGTTTATGACATTACATATTTCATTACTGTTACTGTTACGTGGATAGTATGCTTAATTTTTTTATTAATATTAATTTATATAACTGCAATTGTAATTGTATGTGCTGTAATTTTAATTGTATTTCCATTGTATTCAGTGTGTGTAGTGTCTCCTTTACTGTTTGTCTGCTGTGTTCTGAGCGTGATGTGCTATTTTCTGTGTTGTGTCTTATTGTAGTACTACTGCAACTGGGTAAATACTCATTTGCAGTTAAAATAGATAATAATAAATAATAATAATCCCCCCCATCTCTTCCTAAATAACTCCAAGGAGCATAGACCTTCTTGACAAGCTAACAGCTGCTCAGTCACTTGAAAAATTCATGCTTTTATGGAACCTGAAGGTCACAAGTCTGTTAATGAAAGTCTACCAAAACTACAGTGACTGAATTCTTTTTATATTATCCATAATCCAATCTCTGAAACATTGGTTTAAATAACAACAACAACTGTACTGATGTTACAGATCAAAACAATGAGTAACTTTCTTCATATCTCTATATTAAGAAGTACAAAATTCTCAGTCCCCTGAATTCTAGAAAATTGGATTTTCACTGTATTTCGTCTATATTTGCATGCAGGCTCTGCAGAATATTCCTGAAGGCTAACTACATTTTACATCAGTCTTCTAGTAGCTATTTGACCTTTGTCCATCAGCATGCATATGACCATCAACATGTTCTTCAGAATCGGATGTCTCTCTGCTGCGTCCGGATCCACAAGTTGCCCAGCTTGATATTCCACACATCACATCAAAATCCTCAGCTGTGAATCCATGAGCCTGAAAAACAAGGGAAGGCTTACATATTCTGTACAAACTGGGATTTAATCACCGGCTTCTCAACTTGGAGGCCTGGGCACATTCCCAGGGCACTCCACATGGGCTTTATGGTGGACAAAGTGGCACTAAGGCAGGTTTCTCCCTCAGCACTTCAGCTTTTACCTGCCAGTTATCATTCCACCAATGCTCCACACTAATCATCAATCAACCAGGCCTGGTAAAATAGGCTCATTTGAGGCCAGTCACAATGGACTTCATCTTATCACGTTTCAACAACGAAAAGGCTCTGTACACCATTCATATTTGAAAATAGTCATGTCACAAACTGTTTCCCTTCCCTCCTCCCAGGTCAAAAGTATTTGTTAATGTAGTTAATTGCAAATGACAGACTTTACCTGGCAACAAAGGAAAGCTGTGAAAATATTCCACTAGGATAACTTTGACTGAGAGGTGTTCTACAATGAAGCTAACATGCTTGATTATTTTAAGTACATACATTAATAGTAATCACAGCAACAATGGTGCAACAAAGATAATAATGATGTTCCATTTTAACTGTAGTGTACATACGGTAAAACTATCCTTGTAACAGGCCATGGGGGCCCATTGGGCTCTGAGATGTCAAGGCTCCCACATTCTCTAAACCAGGCATGTCCAACTTCAAACAGATTGTGATCGACTTTTTAGTGTCAAAACTGCCAGTGATCTACCACCCCCTCATATCATTGAACCTCTCTTTAAGTAAAAATATTGGTAAAAATAACACGACACAAGTTTGTTGTAAAAGCAACATACATTGAAAGTACAGACTACACTAACACGTATTTTCCCTTCAAAATCTGAAATAATCATATTATATTAAAAGTGAATTTACATGCCTTTCATGTATAATTTCCTTACATGCCTACGAGATCGACCAAAAATCGTCCGGTTATCGACACGTTGTGAGCGGACACGCCCACCTACCTTTTCTTCCGCTGGGGGGGGGGG